AAATGGTAAAAAGGGCGTCAGGTTTCGGCTTTTGTGTATGGCAGAGGCGCTGGCAATTCATCAATACAACCCTGAACTCTGTATACAGAAAAAGTTTGTCCAGTCTCTTATTCTACCTTGGTCTTAACCTCTTCACTAATCGTTCCCTGTAAAAAATTTTGATTTTTTCTTTTGTTTTTAATTTTACTTTTCGTTTGCTTTTGCTTTAATAATTAATTCACTATTACCAATCGCATATGCTCCTTTTGTATATTTTCACACCCTCTTCACACTGTTAAACTGACACTCAAATACCTTTATTCTCACTCAAGAGCAATTTTAACCTTATCAAACTTCTATATTTGTTCCGTTGAGTACCATGTAATTTACAACTTTTAATTCTTTTCACTTCTAAAGCCACTTATAATTAATTATATCAATTATGTCACCCCCTATTACTCAATAATAGACCACTATACATCTTTCTAAGTATAAATACGACTACAGCCTTTGAAGATGATTTCGTCGATAAAGAAAATTTTCTTCGCTGAATCTGTCTTTTGATTTCTTCATGACTCAATGGGTATTTTCGGTGATTTAATAGGACATGCATCAGTTAAACTTGCGGTAGCTGATATAAACGTAAGGGTAATCACAATGTGATTTTGTTGTAAACTGGTCATTTTCAAAAAGCTCATTCGCGCATTAATTTGACAAAGCAGATATGCTTTCTAACTGTATTCAGAGGGCAGTAAGAATTGTTAATAACTACTTTAAGGTCTATACTGTTTGAAAATCATCAAATCACCTTGTGTAGCAACTATTCTAATGTAATGTAATTTGAAAAAAAAGTCTTATTATAACTATGATTCGTTCTTTGTGTTCGAAATGGAACATAGGACTTCAGCAGCAAATCTCTGTTGTACTCTATTTTTCCCCACTTTCCACTTGGTCCACTTGGTCACTATCGCTATAAACTTTCCTTTACTCTTCCCATAATCTCTTCTATGTCATCCTTGATTATAAAAATTGTTGCTTTACATTAGGCTTCTACTCGAAACGTCTGCCTTGCATGCGATTGTCCCTACTACTTATATCAATGCCCAACTCTTCTTCATTTCTTTCAGCCTATTTGGTAAGCCGTCTGTAGTTGGTTGATTCGTTGCCAGAGTTTGGTGTTGCCTATCCTTCCTGACCAGCCATCCGATCTTCAGTATCGGGTGAAGGCTTCTGTTGATAAAAGCCTAACGCGTAGTAATAGGCGTAAATAGTTCATACTGAAATTATTCAAATAGTCATACGAGAACAATGCAGTTCAACTCTTTAGAACAGAAATAGCGTAATTTAACATAATGGAGCTTTGGTACAGTTCAGCATGCTTTTAATCAATGCATGCATGGGAAATCAATGAAGGAGAATAGAACATACTCATATCAGCAGGTGTAGTGCAATTTGTAGTAAAATGAGAAAGAGGGCATTATGCAAGACGGTAACACTTAGACTGAAAACTCAGATGGATGTGAGGTATTTTGTAGTAATTATTTGTAATCGTAGTATTAGTATTTCGAGATGACCGAATTACACGAATCCAGCCAAAACACAGAGAGGGTGGAATTCAGGAATTTGTATTTAGCGGAATTATTATTCAATTCATATAAGAAATATTAACAATCAACAGTAAGTATTTAAACAGTACAGAGATATAAATTGTCAATCACCACATCCGCCACACGTCGAATGTCTCCTTGCGTATTTATAACGATGTCTCGGTTTGCTTGCAAGTAGATGCTACCTTCTAACTGATTCTGTGATATCATTTTCACCAGTATTATCTGGACTTATTTCTGAATTATCTACAAAATCGGGATTAGTAACGGAATCATTAATATTATAATTGGAAGGACCTACTTCATTTATTATCACTTGATCCAAGTGTCTGTTATGAACTGAATTATCTTCGATGTCTAATATCTTCACCATTCGATTTCCCATTCTTTGTGGTATGATACCAAGAGAAGGTCTATAATCATTCCCTCTGTAATAATGTACATCAGAAGTCGTGGACATCAGATGCTTTCTGAGAATTCGAGATTTGAATAGTTTTTCAGAACTTTCATGGGTACTTGTATGTTCTGCATTCAACAGACCCAGTCTATGCATATGCAACAATTCCTCCATTTTAATCAGTTGCTCTCTCATCTCATTCAGTTTTTCTCGTGTTTTCGACAGTTCGCATTGTAACTCGGCTACCTCATTTTGGGAAACAGTTGACGCTTGAGTTGCTGAACTTGTAGTGAAGGTTTTCATTGGATGAGATTGAGTATTTTGAAAAGTTGAAAGACACATTGACTCCATTTTACTAGACAGATTGGGAGAATTATGAGAATTCTGAGTAACATAAGTACTCGAACTTCTGCAAACAGTCTTGATGTGTCCAACTTTACCACATTTGTGACACTTCGCACCCCGAAAACGGCAAGTGCTTCGTAGATGTAACTTTCCACAGGAAAAACACGGTTTAATGTTTTTGATCTCTCGCTGCATTCTATTACCTGTGGACGACAGTTTGGATTTCTTTCCATGAACACTTGTATTTTCGACTTTGGACAGCATGACATCAGATACTGACGTAGTGGGAGCAGAGTATTCATTGTTGACATCTTCATATGTAATACATAAATCTTTAGCAGTTTGAAAGGTACAAGAAGGAATCTGAATTAACTCTTTCTCTAACTTAGGAATACTGATTCCAACAATTAGACGATTGCGTAGTTGAGTATGCAGCTGATCTCCAAAGTTACACTTTGAAGCTTGAATTTGAAGTTGAAGAATAAAGTCTCTTATCTTCTGCTTGGGAGCACGAACTAGTTTATGGAATTGAGCCCTCTCTCTGGTCTCACATGTAGTTACATGAAAGTGATTTATCAGAAGTTCACGAATCTTGACATATGACAGAGAAATAGGTTTATCTGGAAACGCCAGAGTCTTTACTAGGCTATGCATCTAGCCAAATAGCAGTAATGAAATGTGCTGGTATTTTGTCATCCCGAACATTCTTTGAAATGCACCACGCATCGAAGCATTCAAGGTAATCAGCAATCTCCCGCGGAGAACCATTTATAGGGAATTTTCCAAGGTTATTTAGTTCCATCCCGACGCCAATTTGTAGTAATTACTTGTAATCGTAGTATTAGTATTTCGTGATGACCGAATTACACGAATCCAACCAAAACACAGAGAGGGTGGAATTCAGGAATTTGTATTTAGCGGAATTATTATTCAATTCATATAAGAAATATTAACAATCAACAGTAAGTATTTAAACAGTACAGAGATAGAAATAGTCAATCACCACATATTTCCTCATTTCTTTCTCGAATTTGATTGGAAGTTGTATACAGCCTTCCTTTATATGCTATTCAAGATGTTTGTTTTGATAAGATTAATGAAATGAGCATTTTAAGTACTCGTTATCAGATAAAATACACTAGACAGAAGTAAACTATTACGACTTCGTATCAAACGTTGTTTTTGCAAATATTTTTCGAATTATTTTATCCCTTGGCATATTCCAAGTTATCTCTCCGTATATATATATATATATATATCTATATATATATATATATATATATATAAGCGATTTTCACAGTTTCTTTTATCACGACTTTTGGCTATAGATGGTTTGTTGTTGGGTGTGTTATTATCCGTGTTCTCTGCTTTAACATTAGCCACTACACTACCATAGTGCGAACGATAATAGTACGTAAGACGGATGATCGAACCATGACCGGTTCGATTGTATTGTTTTACCTATAAAGCCTTTTGTTCTTATAGAAGTTTTCTACCGTTCCATTGTTCAGTGTCTTCCACAGTGCGATGGCAACTGAAATCCAGTCTACTACTTTGCCCACTATTTATATCTCAATTAGGGTACAAAAATTTAGCGGTAAGTAGGTCTCTAGTTGTCTTACCAGTAGTTAGTTTTCATACCTGTGAGACGAAATCGTTTCACCTTCTTTCAGCATCTTCTAATGTCTCCCTGTCGTTGTTTAAGTAAAGGGATGTTATTGTAGTGGATGTTTCTCTAATTACATCGTATTACTCCTTTTGTTTTACATAATCGCCTGGTTAAAAAGGTCCTTTCATGCTTTACTTGCGATTTAATTTACGAAAAATGGGGGCAAATATGGTAACTTTCCCCACATTCCTTGCGTCCCGAGTTGGATGTAGGACTCCGAGGTTTTGAAGTTTCAGTAGTGGCAGTAATGTTACTAGGGGATGAGGTTTCTAGACTTACCCTTGGCCTTTCTTCCCCTGACATACTGTTGGGTTGATAAACTGGGCGATGTTAAAGAAGTACGTCAGCAGGGAATTGCATCCGGACCACATGCGTGGTTGGTAACATCATTCCACTCCACCACAGTGACACACAAATACAATACATTTTTTATGCCGAACAGACCAATGGTGTGATATGAATAATATACGATGAAAGACCAAGTCCGACCTTTCCTTTCAGATGAATTTCGCAGGGAGGGTTCATATATGATGTTAACTTAATGTAATCGGTAATCACCGTATAATCTATAAGACTAACAAATTTACATATTTCTGGCAATACCAATGACTTAACGTCATAACTATTTCATGTTTTCTAGAAGCTCTTGCTTCAGTCAGTATGACTGAGAAATACTTTGCTCAGGAAAACAAGTTATATCACTCAAACAGTGTTCATATTGCTTGCTGCTGCTTAATTTACTTATCGCGATACTACTACAAAGCAATTGGTTAATGACATAAAAGTGTCTTCTCTTATATGAGACTGCTATTTTTCCTACTACCTATTGCTTGATTAATAATTGTTTTCTAGTCAAGTGGTAAACGTGTGTGAATATTAAACGTAAATTACTTGTTTAAAATGTCACTAAGAATTGACTTTTTGCAGAATACATAAATATCTGCGCATGTGCACAACTAAAAAACTATTTTGATATTTGTACACTCATTTATTTTTTGTTCAGAATTCCTTATGTAGTCAATCACTTCGAGAACTTTCCAATCCCGGTGCAAGTGGTTCAATATTCTACATTAGTCAAGATGACGAATTCATCATTAAAACTGTACAACATAAAGAAGGGGAATTTTTACAGAAATTGTTACCGGAATATTTTATGAATCTTATGCAACATCCTCGTACTTTATTACCTAAATATTATGGTCTGTATTGTTATCAGGTGAGTAGTAAATATTTACTAATTAATTGACTTCTGGTTATTATTATTATTACTATTATATCCTTTAATTCCTAGAGGAACATAGGGCTTCAGCTGCCCATCTCCATTGCCTTCCCTTTTCTGCCAACTTTTTTACCCCACTCCAAGTCTGCCCACACATGCTTTCATCTCCTCTTCAATTGACCTCCTCCAAGTCACCCCACCCTCCCACTGACGACCAACTCGCCGCTTCCCTTTCGGCCTCGTTCCACTCGAGCAATGGCTTGTCTAGTGATGTCACTTGATGGTTTCATTTCTCAGAGTATGGCCAGCCAACCCATCACCATTTCTTACTGCCTATTTGTTTCACAATCGGTTCCTGCTGAGTTGGTTCTCTCATTACCAGAGATCCCACTATGTTGCTAATCTTTTCTGACCGGCCATCTGATCTTGAGTGGTATTGAGCGAAGACAACTGTTAATGAAGGTCTGTAGTTTGTCTGAGACGCTCTTTATGACGCGCTGGCCAAGTCCCTGATCCATCCGTATAGTAGCACTGACTGACTTCACATTGGAGTTAAAGATCCGGATGTTATTTTTGATGGTAAAGAGTGCTGTTGACCTCCACACAGACTTGAGATTAATGAAAGCTTGTCTTGCTTTCCTGATCCTCGCCGGTTTGATATCCTCGTCAGTTCCGTCTGCCTGTAGTTGAAACGATGCTTCCTAGGTAGATAGGTAAAGGAGGTTGTTTCTTTCAGGTTCCTCCCATTTATGCTGGCTGATCGTTGTCTGTTGTTGTTGTCGTTCTTGGTGTTGGGCAGGAATCTTCATCACCTCTGTTTTATCTATGTCCCCCTGAAGTCCTACCTTGTCTGGAAGCTTCTTCTGCGAGCTTGTTTCTTTTCACTTGCATATCTTCCAGTTTGTGGGAAATCAGACATATATACCACATCGGCGAAGTCCAGATCCTCGAAGTTGTTTTTTGTGTGAGTGCATTTTATGCCTGTTTCCTGGTTGCCCGGCCCGTTGTCTGTCGTATTATCCAATCTACTGGAATCAAGAAGATCAAGAAGTAGACAGCCAGCCTTTCCTCACTCCCGTCCTCACTTCGAAGGCTTCCGTAAGTTTCCCGTTGTGGATTACTTGACATGCAGCATTATCGCACAGCTAACTGCTGGATGAGATGTATAATTGTAGATGGGACCCCGTAGTAGCGAAGTAGTTGCCAAATCACCTCTCGATCGACGCTGTGCTGTCGAAGGCCTTTTCAAAGTCGATGAAGTTGAGATAGAAAGGTGACTGTCATTCCAAGCTTTGTTCAATGATGATCCGTTGTGTGGCTATTTGATCTGTTGTAGGTAGCTTCATGTATGCATGTCTTTAAACCAATCTGTTTCGTAGACACTAGTATCAACGAATAGCTGTTTAAATCTTAACGACGAATGTGAATCTTTCCTAAGCCACCCGTATTCATTTTGTTAGCATAGGGGAAACTTTTTAACACATCATTCTCAACAGTCACATCCCGGCTTGTAAGTTTTACCTTGAAAGCGGTGTAGTTGGAACTAAAGATGGTGGGTGGGGGGGGGGTTAGAGGTCAACTTGCTTGCACGAACAGTTATTTTACGCTACTCACATCACACTGTCTCAAAGGCTATTTCTCCTCAGGTTTTGTATTCTCATTGTCATCTTCAAGAGTCTTTCGCAGTCGGTGGTTAATGATAGTCTTTTTACAAAAAGAATGGAGTACCTAACACATTGTACACTTCATACCTTTAAATAAATAGAAGAAAAAGCTTGAAAATCAAATGAATTCTTATTTGATTATGGGATTTTATAGTCATTTCGTAATTTAAGTGGATTTTTGATATAAAGTAACTAGGCAGACATATTATACAGTTTCATTGAGAACAGTTATAAAAGATAATCAAATTGTGAGTGAACTGTTATCAATTTCACTTAAAGTCAGAAATAATAATTTTCCCATGATCAAGGTTTAAAAAAGATAAAACCATAAAATGAATTTGCCAAAATTTACTGCCGCCTGAGAAATGCTCATTTTTTTTGGAATGGTTACTGGACAGAAGATATATTTCATACATCTAGGTTACCGCTTCATTGTTTCACATGACGCCAAAGACCTTTCGTTAGACGTTCGAGTACTTACGTACTCACATTAGTCTGTCTTTATTGACATGATACATATAAACGTGATATCTAAGGTTGACAAATATCGATTACAGCGGAGTTATCTTAATTAGAACTACTTCCCTCCACCATTTTTTCATTGTGGATTAATATAGTACTTTATTTTAACAAGGTAGTAGTAATATACAATGTTACACAGCTGTTAAAACAGTTACACGAGCTCATACATTCCACCCACGCAATATCACATAACTTGTTCGTTAAGCACACCGATTAACTGAATTTTAAGCTATTTCACGAATATGTACGTAGTAATATCTTTTAGTAACACGGATACGAACATTGATGTTGCTTGAGAATATATTTGACAATTAGTGATCACTTGTTCCAGTTGAGGTTTGAGCAGTTGAATTTCACTTGATAAATATTGCTTATCTTTTAGTGCGTGGACGGACCTACTTTGGATTAGTAGGTTGTATAATATGCCCTTCGTATTTCAAAATTTATACTTTTCATGTATGTGGGTGTTATTCAAAGTACTGCGTATTCCACCATTGGATAGGTTACTGTTTCTCCTTCCTAGTGTGTTCTTTTGTCTGGAAAGTATGGGAAAGTGAGGATATTTCATCAATGTGGAATGAAGCCATTATCACTCTCATCTTTAAAAAGGACTGGCGTAACACACGCGACAACTATAGGGGCATCAGTCTGCTACCGGTTGCGTCTGAAATATTGACTGCTGTTTTGCCTCTCAGGCTGTGCAAAATGCATGAGGACTTGCGTGGTGGTGTAGAAGAGAAAAACTGGAGAAAAACTTGGAAATGTATACGATGTCGTCCTACTTTGCGACAGCATTCAGGCTGCCCAAATTGCACTTAATCAGTTGGGTATTAGTGTCTGTAAGTATGATATATGCTTTGTGCCGTCTAAGTGCAAAGTGCTGTTACAAGATTGGCAGGAGCCTATACCTGCATTCACTCTTGCGGGTGAACTGCTTGAAGTTGTCTATAACTTCGTGTATTTGGGAGGTTATGTGGGTGCTGGCAGGGGTGTGACGGACGAGATTCCTAACCGTATTATGAATACTGGGTTGGCATACGCCACTTTGAGTCACCTCTGGCGCCGTTGCGACGTCATCCTGGTTGTCAAAGGTCGGACCTACAGAGTTTCGGTGCTCGCAGTTTTGCTCTATGCCTGTGAAACCTGGCCTCCGAGGTGAGGATGTGCAGCGACTCTATGTATTCGACCATCGTTGTCTACGTAGAATTGCTTGCGTTCTATGGCATCATCGTGTGAGTAATTCTGAGATGAGTGTGTGTTTGGGCACTGGAGATCACCATTCACTGAATTTCGTCATTTGGAAGCATCGGCTTCGGTTGCTTGGATGTGTTACGAATGTCATCCCTGACTCCCTGATCGCGGTGTGAAAGATAGCTCGAATTGGTGGTTTGAAACGTTATCAGATGTGGCTATGAATCGTAATTAGTGGCGAACGTGTTGCAATTTCCTTCTTTCTTCCCTTTCTGGAAGTAATTCGACGAATGTTGTCTAGTCCTGTTAAATGTGTAGCCGCTTCCTTTCCAGATGAATTCCTCTATTCATTCTCCCCTTTTTCTTCTTCATATATTGTTGTTTTATTGAATGACGCATCTTCTTGGTGCCTAAATTGTACCATGTTCTGTGTTTTAAATCATTAATTTTAAATAATAATCATTTATGAAAATTTCTGATTATTGCTTTTTTGGTTATGCAAAAGTACAGACTTCACTTCTGATATATGAGGTGTTACGAGTCGATAGTTGTTTATTTCGAATTTTCCTAAGGTATGGCATTTCCAACTATTGAATCTTTGTGTTTAGCTTTTGTATTGGTAGAAATGTGACTCATTGGTTTAAGCACTCAATTTTTAGCCAGTAGCGCGGATGCTGTTCCGCCTACTTTAGTCCGCACAAGCGGGTAGTATCATCAGCTCTCACACAATAAGAGGGATTTAGCGTCTGAAACATGAAAAGATTGTTCCGGTCGCTGAGCTGTAACAGGATCAATAGCTTTTTTTGATTTGACACTAGTACCTAGTGTGATGCATCTAGTCCTCTGATTGGTGTAGACTGAATTATATCAGTCAGGTTGTAATGTGACCACCATCCTAGCTAGCTCGCCATCACGGTGCATATTGATTTGATGGTATTAGATGGTTGGAGGCAATCGGCCACAGGAAGCCTTGGACCTAGGTTTCGTGCTAGTTGCCACTCGTCAGCAAGGCGTATCTGCAACCTTGAAGGAACTCATGTCCCTCAGTGGTAACGTCTCTGACTGCAGCACTGGGTGACGCGGGTTCGAATCTCAGAAGGGACATGAGTTTCTTCAAGGTTGCAGATACACCTTACTGACGAGTGGCAACTAGCACGAAACCTAGGTCCAAGGTTTCCTGCCGATTGCCTCCAACCATCTAATATCATCAAAAGGTCAATGGCTTTTGTATCAGTCATTCTGCTTCATTTGTACTTATCCAGTTACATTAAATTTTAGTTTTTTCTTTAATCCTTTAAAATCCTTATTTAATATTTTCCGCTGGTTAGGTAGGTTTAACAAATGTAACAGTGTATTATTAGCTCATTATTTTTATTACCCTGTTTCTACTCAACTGCTTCTTACAAATCAGACACTACAAAATGCATGTATTAAGGGAAAGGTTTGATCATTTTTTTGTCAAGATCACAAGAAGAATTATTGATAAGCATCATAGGTAGAATAAGTTAGAAATGAAGTGAGCAGTTGATTTGTGTTAAAATACCGGCTATTTATAGGATGATTAGATGTAATCCACTATACTGACGTACTGTTTCTAAGTTAACCCTGATTCCTAACCACATTTTGAACTACTCGTATCTTGACAAGAACATCTATCCTTTAGTTCCTAGAGGGAACATAGGGCTTTAGACGCACGTCTCCATTGCGTCCGGTTCTCCGCCAACGTTTTCACCTGACTCCCTGTCTGCCAACATGCTTGCATCTTCTCTTCGCACGATCTCCTCCTCCATGTCACCTTCGAACGACCAACTCTCCGCTTCCCATTAGGGTTCCACTCGAGAGAGAGCCTGGCATGTGATGTCACTTGATGGTTTGGTCGTCCTATAAATCATCGGTCTTTTTAACACTTAATAATTTAAGTATTCACATCATTCCTAACTTATTCTATCTTTAGTCCTTATCAATAACTCTTTGTGATCTTGATAATGGAATGTTCAAATATGTTTTTTTGGAATACATGTATTCTGTGTTGCTTCTGTTGTAAGCAGTCGAGAAAAATCTGGACAATTGAAACAGAATGAGACGATATTATGCCACTACATTTGTGGTTCTTCCTTTTTTTTTACATTTTCACACTTTTATGTAGTTATTACAACTTTTTTGAGTGTATATTCAGTAATCTCAATTAAAATAATAATTCTATTATATTTATAAATTATAAAAAAATGTAGTCAGGACATAAAAATATTCGTTTCGTGGTAATGAATAATCTTCTACCATCTTCCGTACGTATTCATGAGAAATATGATTTAAAAGGATCAACTTATGGTCGTCAAGCAAGCGATGCTGAACGTGCTAAAAGCTCACCAACTCTAAAGGATCTTGATTTCTTGTAAGTGTACTTTCAATTCTGTTATGTTTTTGGTGTTATTGTCATTTGTTAGGTGGAATTCGTGCATAAAAACTCTATTCATGTTGAATTTCGATAGTATTCCAACTTCTTTCGAATCACTTTTCACTTTCTTCTCTTGCTTTGTGTGCTACATGGGGAGTGGCAGCTCGAACTGAACTGTTGCACATCAGTGCGAAATTCTACGTTGAAACCAATCAGTCCGTTCTCTAACGTGGTGTTTCCTAGTGTATTTTAATGAAAAAAAAATAGCACGACAAAGTCTAAAACAGCAAATATTTCAATTGAAGTTATGAAAAAGGACACCAGGCAAACAGTTTCGAAATTCTGCAGTCACGAATTTTGTCTACCTGACCATCATAATTTATTCACTCTCTTTAGGGCATCTCAAAATATGTCACTGCATTTAGAAGATAATAGTTACTCGTAAACTTATCATTAGAGATGTGGCATATTGCCTACGATAGTCAGTTTTCAGCCAATGGGTGACGGTTTGAGTGTTCCTCCACACACTTTGTGACGTGTGCTACTAATAAGATTTATCGGTGGTGTATATATATGTATAAAGACGTGTTCACCGCTATAAACACTTCAAATAACAGGGAGATAGATTTGACGTCAGAGAAAGTGAATGATACAGCGTTGCGGAGATAAATGGAAGACATGAAAGGAACACAGAGAAACACAATATGAAGGAAGTCCAGAAGTAACACAACACGGAAGATTTGTACTGCGCGTGCGTTGATGATAAAGTGTACATAATTTCGCCACATAGAGATACAAAATTGCAGATAAATATTCCTTTATCAAGTCTTTCGTCTTCCACCGTTTCAACTTCAGCGCAGACAATTGGATACTATCAGCAGCATTCAAACGACAAGTTATGGCGCATAGCCTGGTACAGGAAAAATCTGTCTATTCGATGTAATTGAGGTAAACAAACAGACTTATCGTGACACGATTGTGACCACCATTCTGCCTGTCTGTCTGTTTTCGACATAGAACTTTGCACATATGTGTGGGAAGTTCAAGTCGCCACACTCCCTCCTTGTAGCACACAAAGCAAGAGAAGAAATGCATACTAGAGACAGTAAACAGAGGAGTGAGACAAAGGACGAGTAATAACGAAGAACAAAACAGTTTCATTGGAGATCATAAGTCACAAGGAGTGGATGCATCTGCGCTAGCTATCACTGAGAACGATTTTTAGCCATGTCACCAATTGTTCCCAACCATTGGTTTTTACCGTCCCGGGGACCCCAACCAGGAAGCCAGTCTACACCTTCCTACGTGGCTTAGACTAACTGTGTGGATTTCATTGACTGGTGCCAAGTTTTTGTTTGACCGCCGCTAGCTTTTTTCCAGCCTGACCCTATATCCGCCAACATTTCTCGTCGAGGAAGGCGATGACTGGATATGTATGCGTAACACATGTCCTAACCATCTCAGTCTTTGTAACTTTACAGCCTCGTCGATTGATTTCCCCTGCTTACCTAGAACTTGACGCCTAACCTCAATATTGCTCACCTTATTATGCCACTTCACACGGGAAATAGAGCGCAGGCACCTATGATCAAAGACAGCTAGTCTTTTCATGTCTTCCACTCTCAGTGGCCAGGTCTCACAGCTATCATTAACTCAAGTTTGAGCTTCATTACAGCTTCGTCTTAATATCCGGCTTTAGCCCATACTTTTTGATAGATTTTCTTGATCATGCAATTGGTACTAGTATTTCTGATTTATAGAAAGATCAGCATAACAGTAGGCCTCAGTATAATTTAGGTTTAGGAATCATTTGATAGGAAGGCATAGACTTCAGTTTTGTGCTTATTGAGAATCTAGTCAGGTATATATATATATATATATATATTTCCCTTTTCCGTTACCTTTGTCATTCACATTGTGTTGCCTACTTCTGATCACAATGTCTTAGATATGATGATTTTCTGTGTGATGCAGATAACTAGTGTCGATTGATGATTGACTGTCAATAATTGGTGGTCACGTGTTTATAAATGTAACTCCATCCATCCATCCGCGTATCTAGATGGCTTTTAAAATAATAAGTCTGGTTTATTGCTGTTGACGTGATTCTCTAAACGGTTACTAAGAGACATGCATCATTCAACAATAAATATTTATCATGATAAGGAGTGTTTTTATCACCAGGGAGAACATTATATGTATGCATCCTGTTCAGTTGTAATAGGACAATTAAAGTGTTACATCAAATAAGGCGATAATAATCAGACAAAATTTAGAAATAATGAATGGACCCTTATCCTAATTCATAATTTTCATGATGTTTTTGTATGGAATATGTGACTGCAGGTAAAATTTGAAGGTAGATCTGATTAAGTCGTAATTTGTTTAGTCAAACCTTTCGTGGATAGTCACAATGAGGCGTCAAACACTAAACTATATAGTACCAGAAGTTACATTCATTTACCAGAAAGGGAGTTTTTTTTAAACACTGTGTCCTGATGTTATTAAATGTGGGAATTGTAACTATATTAATTGTTTTCAAGCCACTAAACCTGGCATAGAAGTGTAATTGAATGCTGGAAATTAATTTGTTTCATTGCTTATTTTAATTGTGGTAATTTTTGTTGTTGTTATTGAATGCTTCCTGTGTTGTCCACGCCTAGCTGTGTACATTTGTTATCACTCATGTCTTCTTTCAGAGAAAATCATCCTGACGGCATATGGTTGGAAGCAGAGACTTACGATGCTCTATTAAAAACAATTGAGAGGGATTGCCTTGTAAGTTGTTGGTTTGTATCACGGTCTGTTTGTTTTTGCTTTCCTTATGGTTAAAAATATATTGTTATGTTAGTGTTCCGACTTCATCAAAGTTTGATATTGGTCTTTGTATGAAGTAGTGACAGACCTTCCGGTTACAAGGCGACCTCGTAGACCAGTGGGGTACAGCGGAGCGTGACCAATATAACACATTTTTTACACTACTATTTTTGTGGGATGAACATGGTGAGCCAATAGCATTGCTGAAAGCTACATATCATTTCAAAATAGCTAATAGAATTTTGAATTTTCAGATAGTGTAACTTTTTTTTTAACGCACTATTTGTTGGTCAGAATAAATACCACTTATTATATGAATAAGCAGTCATCGATAATTGTATTCTTGTTGTACATTGTGCTTAATATTCTTTTAATCGTTTAAAAGTCATGTGTTATTCTATCGTATGATTTCCTTCAGCTGAGATTGTGAATTATCATGCTGAAGATATGAAATCAAATCATTTGGTGGTTTTCAATCTTTAAGTCATAGTCTCGTTTGATGTTTTGTAGTGACGTATTTTTTATATTGCTTTGTGAAATGTGCAAATCTAAAGGTGCTCGTTGAAATGTATTATATATCGTGTTATGTATATTACGGCTAGAGGTTCAGTGAACGAATTTTCCTTATCATTTCTGCGCGTAAACTTTATTGGTAGTTACTGCAGTCTAAAGTATGTAGTAGATACTTATGCTGTGTGTGTGGATGATTGTACTTTGATTCAATAGTAATGCGCGAATCGTCCACAGCCATGTAGTTGCTACATAGAAAAATTTACCTGGGTAAAGATTATCCTATTATCATTCTCTTGGGTTCTGAGTGGAACATACTGGCTTCAGCAACACACCGCTATTTTACTCTATTCTCTGCTGTTTTATTTTTAGTTAGCTCCATGATACTTCATGGGTTTTCATTTCCTCTTCAATCGGTTTCCTCCATTTAACTGTCGAACGCCTAATTCGTTTTTTTTCTCATTCATGTTCTACTAGAAGGCTTCTCTGGTGACGTCACTCAATGGTCTTCCCGGCGTATGTCCACTCTATCTTCATTTGCTTTCTGCATATTTGTTGAGCGATTGGTTCTTGGCTGGTTCGTTGCTAGGGTTCCTTGTTGCTTATAGTTTTAACCATCTGATCTATGGTATCAAGCGACGGTAGCTGTTAACAAAAGTCTTCAATAAGCTGTTGGAAATGGTTTTGGTGACGTGCTAAGTCTCTTAACCACACGGAAGCACTGACTTGTCATTAGTGTTGAAGATCTGGATCTTCTTCCTCTTCTTTGTGCTGAGTGTGGCAGATTTCCACACTGATTTCAGGGAAGTGAAGGTCTGTCTTGATTTCCCGACCCCAAATTTCACAAAAAGCATTTCTTCAACGTATTTATAAATTCGTATACTGCACAATGTATCACATGTTAATGGTTATCTTGATAGCTGAGGATGATCAGTTAATCACGTGTTTGTTCTTGCAGGTGGCGACGATAAGCGTCTCCTATAAATTTGAGGGTTATTGGCACTACTGGTTTGTCTAGTCCTTACCAGACCGAGCATGATTCTAACCTTCAACCAACTGATCAGAAGTTGACTACCTCTGAACTGCTGAACTACTCGTGTCTTTTATTTATTGGGGTCATGTCCACGTGTATGGACTTAAAATTCACATCTCTTGTGTGTGAGGGTTAGTAACAGCACCCAACTGATGATACCTTGGTAGATAGAGCGTGGTTTGCACTCGTGATCAGTGGTTAAATTCGAGCGACTAGACCAATAGGCCACGTCTTCAATTGTTATTTTTTATTTATTTATTTATTCATCAAACTGACCTTCTGATTGTTTTTGTATTTTTGTTTACTTTTACAGGTGCTTAAATCTTTCCGAATTATGGACTACTCATTGTTGTTAGGTATACATAATTTGGATAAGGCCAAACGTGAACGGGTTAGTGTTTATTGTTTGAAATTTTTAAAAAAATATATTTTTTGAAAAGTAATATTTACCATATTGGTTGGTATTCACTCTTTTTTGAATCTCAGAACTCTCCCGCTATATGTCCTCTGGGATTTCCCTACCTGATGAGAAGAAAGCGAAAAGATTGACCGGAACTTTTATATTCATTTCTTCGAATTTTGAACATTGTAATGAGATGTCTCTGCCTTACAGTATGATATAAGGAGAAGCGATTCAAACCGTTAAACCTTTCTTCATCTGATAAATTGATCACATCAAAAATCGAATGTGTTGCCTTTCTTTGAGCCTTGTGTAGAATGTATGAGTCTCCCTAAAGGCAAGGTTTAGCAATCTAGATGCGATTTCCCAGTTTTCATCTCATGAGATATGTACGTAAAAAGCCGAACACATCACTAGAGACTGTAGGAAACACTGAGTATTGTCCATTATAGTCTAAATTGAAGAAAGACTATACCTTATTACGTAGGATGTTAAAGGTTGTCAGCAGGGTAAGCAGTTTACCACTTAGCCAGCTTGTTAACATTCTGGTGGACAGGCACATGGACTCATGTGAAAAATGGGCGAAGTCCATTTTATCTGACTCACAACACCCTCTACACTCACAACTCTCCCCATGTATCTCTTCAGGGAAAACAAGAAGTCTATATAGGAAACTACATGCCCGCACTAGTAAGTACAAAAACTCATCCATACCCTACCTAGCCCGTGTTCTGTGTGATAAAGAATGCATCAGGCATGAAACCTTTAACTTATTAAATAGTCACTAGAACCAATGGATCTTGTCTTTCCAACTCACATCATTTATGGGTACAACGTTTTCTCTCTTTTCCATTCTCTCTACCTTTTTTGTCTTTATTTTTGTTAAGTGCTGTTTTGCTTTTCTCTTCCTTGCAAACTCTAGTTAAAACCTTCTTGTTGTTCTTTTACACTCTGTATATCTCGACCATTTTGCTATCGCTTACGCCAGTAAATATGCTAGTAGTATCTACTTTTGTAACACCTTCAAACATTTCAATTTTGGCTTTGCTACCGACATACTAATATGTTGTTGAGATAATCTTTAATCTATGTAGAACTTTATTTATTGTTAATGTAAAAACTGGATGCAATATTGTAGTAAAATGCTGAGAATTCCATTCTGTATCACAAGTACTGATTTGGAATAAAGCTTATATATAATAATAATAATAATAATAATTTTAGATCTGCTACCGTGCGACAGTGTGTCCCGTAGATTTTGGTGATGACTTACCATGAAATGACACCCTAGATCCAAATAAATCTGAACTGATGGGAGTGTTATTCCCTCTATGTCATATTAGCTGTTGCTCACTTACCCAATTTGCATAGCATCTCACTTCACTACGTTGATTGGGGGGGGGGATCCATTCTTTGTACCAAATTAACAGTTTGTCGGAATGTCTTTACCAACGTCAACTTGTCGTTATCACTCTTAAACACTAAACACACTTTTTTTATTACCAAAACGCGAGAAACATGGGAATGCTTTGTACAGCTTAACACTATAAATAAGTTAAATTTTTTGGATAAATTGCTTATTTCTATATGATAGTCAAACAGTCTCCTCTACTTTGACGTACAAAATGACTAGGGCGCATATGTTTTATAAAGTATCAGGATTTCATCATGAGCTGACATTAGTTAGAGAACCATTGAAAACCTGGGAGTACTGGACAGCTGTTTCGTCCTAGTTTGGGATTCTTCATCAGTACGCACCCACACTACGGGGTTTGAACCCAGGACCTTCTGGTTACAAGGCGAGCCAGCTCATGTACCATTAAGCCACTGGGACCCGATTCAATGGCCCACGAATTCTAACTTCTGCCAATTCACGATATAGCGCGACCACTAGCCAATGTCTTCGGCGAGTATTTGTCCTCACACCTGACCCATTGGATCGGGTCCCAGTGGCTTAATGGTATATGAGCTGGCTCGCCTTGTAACCAGAAGGTCCTGGGTTCAAACCCCGCAGTGTGGGTGCGTACTGATGAAGAATCCCAAACTAGGACGAAACAGCTGTCCAGTACTCCCAGGTTTTCAATGGTTCTCTAACTAATGTCAGCTCATGATGAAATCCTGAAACCAATCAAATCCCTACAAACTAACACTTTTATAAAGTATTTCTGATCGTTGTTATTCATTTAGTGATTCATATACACAACACAGGTAGACCACACATTGTCTTAATTGATCGCACAAATTCAACCGTATCCGTATTTTTTTATCGTCATCTTTAGAATATCTGATGTTATATTGTAACAACAGAAGACAAGGGCCAGGCAACAGATAGTTTTATTATGAAAATCAACACGTATTTATGCATATTTCACATACATTATTATAGCTTATGCAAGTAGACGAGCGCAGTCATCTGATTGGTTGTTTATCAGAAGTTAGGCAGACAAACGCAGGCTTCTGATTGGTTGTTTCGGGATTCCTCGACAAATAGAGTTCTCTATCTGCGAATCATATTTTGCCACGTTAACTTTGCTGTGATTGGTTGTTGAATCAGCCTTGCTCATATTTTCTCACGGCCTGCTCTCACCACAATATGTATTCATTCTTTTGCTTATTCCTCCCCCCATTGACTTTCACAATGATAATTTATGGTAGAATAGAGTGGTGGAGTGCAGATGATATGATCTAGGTAGTCAGATTCTACTTTGCTTTCACCTGTTTTTTTTTACTGTATTAGTGTAGTATGTCTCTGTTTTCTACGATTGATTATTGAATTTTTTTCCCTTTAATTACTTCGATATTATTATCCAATTGGTTAGATGTGATCTTTGTTAAAGCTGGCATATCATTTACTCTTTTTGTAACTATTCATCTTTTACTGGTCTCACACACAGCAGATAATACTCAGTTGAAATGATTAACAGATAGTTTGCAATTAATAGTGTTCTCTGAGCTGGTTGGTTTAGTTGCGTAACTGTCGTCGTCTTTCTGGACGACATCTTCAGCGCGGTATTTAGGATAAACAACTTATTTGAAGACATCAAATTCACAAGAGAAGAAGAATTAGATAACAATATCCCATTTTTAAATGTCTTAATCAGGAGAACCAACACAGGAAATTTAGAAACACAAGTATATAGAAAATCAACGCACACAGATCAAATACTCAACTAGGGTAAGAATAATCCAATTACTTAAAAAAGAAACTGTGTGCAGACAGACATTGTTTAAAAGAATTCAAATATACTGTAGCACTCCAGGGTTGAAAAGAATGGAAGAAAAATACTTACAAACGGTCTTCAAGAAGAATGGTTATCCACAAAATTTCATCAAAAAGTGTTTAAAGTCGAATCAAAACACCAACAAAGAACCATCATCAAAGACCAAAAAGAAATTCATCCTACCATACATCAGAAATATCGCTGAAATAACGGCTAGAATAATGAAACCGTTTGATATAGATGTAGCACACAAGCCAGCCAGTCAAATCGCTTAATTCGATATTATGCAAACCGAAAGATCCATTCAACAGAAAAAAAGATAAAATTAATACCATTTACAAAATAAATTGCATGTATGAACTGTAACAAGCATTACATCGGTCAACAAAGTGGGCGTCCCCTTCGAATTAGAATCCAGTAACACAAATCAGCCGTGAAAAGAAATGATATAAATTCTTTAGTATCAATGCATACAGACAATTATGGACATCAGTTTGATTGGGATAATGTCGAAATCTTAGACAGAGGAAACACCAAAAGTGCAGTCAGGGAATTCCTAGAAGCCTGGTACTCAAACGAAAATGCAATTAACAAACACGTTAATATGGGCGAAATATATCAACTAATAAAAAGTAAATCAGGTGACCAGAAATTTTAAAATCCAAGTCAATAAAAATTATCAATAGAGATGTAAAGATGGTTAACTGGAGACGCAATTCTATCACTCAGGGAAAAAATTTAAGTCAGTTCACTTAATGCTAAAATTTGCGCTGAAGATTTTGTCTATTAGGAGGGGGGCGACGAAAGCTCCGCAACTAGACCAACCAGCTCAGAGAACACTATTGATTGCAAATCATCCACCTGAGTTACAAATCTTCTCTATTAACAGATAGTATATGATCTACTCATAGCCTCTTCATTCGTTTCACTACATCATCGGTGTACGTGTAATCGTAAAAACAGTTATTTCTGACTGTAGTCTTCTACACGAGCCTTATATATATTGTTCGAACATTGAAATACAATATGGGGTCATTTCAAGAAAGATGGGCAAAGTTAAACTTTCGACACCACTAACAACCAATCAGCAAACGACCTCGAACGGACCAATCACATTATAGAGGCATATATGATGAATGGAAATGTATATTTACAGAAAAAAGCATAAAATAGATAATAAAAAAGGTTACATGGGATATCTTTCTCAAACATGTGAGAGAAAAATCTCCCAGTTTAGCATGGGACTGTCAATGGAGAAGTTACACCATATCCTGTACATATATTCATCCAAATAACTATAAATGAGATCCTTTTGAGATACATTTATTGCCGTTATCCTATTTTCCAACCTGCCCCAAAATCCTTCATTAGAATTTGTATGTGTCCTCGTAACGGGATCCACAAAATCACTTGAATGGTTGTCTCTATGATGAATATATCCCAGAGATGACAGCGAATTGTAGCCTTTCCGTGTGTATAATTGACCCCCGCTTAACAATTCTGGTAACAGTAGGTATAAGAGTAGTTGCTTTTCTATCTGCTATCCTTAGGGAGAGAAGCGACCTAACGAAAAAAGTTCCTACGATATAATAAAATTATCAGCATACACTCTCTAGTGTTAGTAGGCTTCAAACATATAGCACAATGATGAACAAATCAATCAGTTGATTTGGTGTAGCTTTTTAAAGTCATGATACCACCACACAATCAAATTCGTCCTTTCCGGAGCAACTGAAATCCAGGAAATACTGGGAAACACTAACCTCCTCG